TCTGTGGCTGGGGGGCCCTGTTACTTTTGGTTGTGTAGCAAAGCAGAAAGTGGACCAGGGGGGTCCCTGGAAGAGGCAGGACTGGGGTCCCTGTGTGCCCTTTGAGGGTACCCCCCAAGGACCCAAAGACCTCCCACTGGGACCCACCTCTTAGGGTTCACCTGTCTCCCAGGAGGGCCTCAGGCTGGGGCCAGCATCATCACGTGCGCCTTCAGGGTCACACAGCCCAACTGTAGTACAGCTGCCCATTGGGTGGCTTTCAGTAGTTTTTTAACTAGAACGTTGACAGTTTCATCTGTTGGCAGACAGACGTGCCTGTTGCGTTGTTATTTTGCTTTTTAACACATTCGGTCACAACACAGGCATGGTAAGCCAAGGCATGTTCTAAGGGTGTTTCACTCTGGAGTTTTGGACATGAAGTGGAGTCAGAGCTGTTAACAGGCTTTTCCTACTAACACAGCTGTTTTGGTGTTTGAAGCTGTCGCTCAAGGTGGCTGGTATTCTTTGGGCATGGCTCTTCTGAGAGCTTCTTAGCATTACTTTGGCTTTGGGAGGAAAACAGGGAGCTATAGTATTGCAATAAATCCTAAATATGATCATAAAGCCTGTGCAGAAAAGGCCGGTCACCTGTGACCTTCAGGCTTCGGCCGTCTGCTTCCTGAAGTGACCCCTGGCCTCCCATCAACTAGTTTCTTATTCCACGACTTTTTTTTTTTTTAATATTTATTTCTTTTAGTTATTGGCGGACACAACATCTTTGTTTGTATGTTGTGCTGAGGATCGAACCCGGGCCGCACACATGCCAGGCGAGCGCACTACCGCTTGAGCCACATCCCCAGCCCCTTATTCCACGACTTTTGATGCCCCTGTGTCAAGGTCTTCGTGCACTTTAGTAGTGAAGAACCTTGACGGTGTGAGTACCGTAGACAGCCGAGGTGTTACGCATGTCTGTGTTGACTTCGGTTAACATGAAACACGCCACATGAGTCCTCCCTGGACTGCTCTGCTGGCCTGGGCTGTCCTTAACTGGAGCAGCCCTCTGGGATTTTTCACCCAGTTGTGGGGCCTCCTTCTGGCAGGAGGCACAGTCCCTTCCTCTGCTCTCCTGGGCATGGGTTTCAGCTCCCCTGAGAACAACCACTGGTTTGGGTTTTTTGTTGTTTTTTTTTTTTAAACCATTTGCCACCTTCAGTCAGAGGAATGGAAACAAACCAAAACAAAATTTTAAACCATTGTTTGAAATTCACAAAACAAATATAAGACTAAAATAAAACTTTCAGATGCACTAAATTTCCGAGATATTCTTTATGTCTTAAACATCAGCGAGAGTGAGGAAGAATCTGCTTGGTTTACCTTTGTCCTTTTGCCTCCTGTCTTGAGCCCTTCACGTTCTGGGTGTGAGCAGGGTGTGAGCAGGTGTGAGCAGGACCTTCTCTCACTGCTTTTGGGGAACTGGCGGTTCCCTGATCTTGCGCGCTCGCGCCCTCTGCTGGCGCTGCTCACAGGGTGGACCTTGCGGGCGGGCGCTGGTTGCCTAGGAGCCTGATGCTGCTCTGCTGTGGTTGCCTGGCAACAGATGCTTGCGGCAGCAACGGCTCTCAGTTTCCCGACAGCTCCACTCCTCTGCTCCAGATAAGCAAGCTAGTGTTCTGGAATCTGATCCAATGGCTTAAAACGAATGAGGATCGTTTTCTCACACTTAAATAGCAGAGGACCAGACGATTGGGTTAAAAAAAAAAAAAAAAAAGTTTTGGGGCAGGGAATGTGGCACTTGCCTCATGTTGTTCCCCAGGCAGCACCAAGGGAAGAAGACAGGGAGGGAGGGGACAGGTCTTGAGCTCCTGTCTGGTAATAGGCAAATGCTGGCTTGGCAGTTTTCACAAGAAACGTTTCTCCCATGAACAAGGAAGGTACAGGAATGTTTGGGGTTGTCACATCTGTCGTGGGTGGAGGCATCACTGTAGATGATGTTTCACTGACTTTGTGGCCAGTCATTTACCCTCTCACTCACCCCTCTGCTCTTTAAAGTGATGTTACCATGGTTCCTGTCTTTGGGGACTATTGCCAACACTGAATAAAGTTTTTCACGGACAGATGAAGCCCACTGCCACCCTGATAGATAGCTAGAGGCTGTTTTACAGGGCAGATATTCTCACTCTCTTGCTGATAAACAAATGCATGTTCCAGTAGAGTGTGTGTTTCATCGAATCTCCTTATCTACTCCTTCTTAAATACCAAACATTGTTGTCTTTAACCTTAATTTCTAAATGTGAACACATCAAAACCTATTGTTATATTCTCAGGGTAACTGAATATCAGTTTGTCTTAAAACAGTGGCTTCTGAGTCCTAACTGAATTATCCCTTCGTAAGTTTTCACAGATTTTTTTGTTTCCCTTTCTCTAACAACATATAGAATTTTTGTCATTAAAAAAGAACCCATACTTTTACAAACTCCCCATCCCACACTATATTTTTTATGTATATTTTCTCAGCTTCTGACTGCCCACCCCATTAGCCACGTTATCACCTGTACAGAGACATGCTAGTTCACTCACAGGTGTGGCACCCGTGCTAAGTACTCTTGGTTCACAAACTAGAACTTTAGCCTAGCTCAGGATGGAGTGTGACGCTGTGCATTTGTGTCTGCGTATGTCAAGAAGGGTTATCAACATGCTATGGAAACAGCCCAGGTGTCCATCAACGGATGAATGGATAAAGAAAATGTAGGGTTTATATGCACAATGGAGTTTTATTCAGCCATAAAGAAAACTGAAATTATGTCATTTGCAAGAAAATGGATGGGGCTTGAGACCATCAAGTTAAGAGGAAAAAGCCAGACTTGGAAAGTACAGGTCGTACATTTTCTCTCATATGTGGAAGCTAAAGAAAAGGAGGAAGGGAAGAAAAGGAGGAAGGAAAGCCCATGATAATAACAAGAAGATCAGTGGAGCAGAGGAAGCTGATGGTGGGGGGGGGGGGGGGGGGAGGCAAAGGGAAGGCACCAGGGATGAGGTGGGCCAGAGGTTAGGGTTATACTGTATCATGTACAAATGTGTAACAGCAAAACCCACTGTTATGTGTAATTGTAATTAACCAATAAAAATTTTTAAAAGAAGAGTTATTATTTCATTTTTAAAGTATTATTTCCCATATAGTGAAACAATGGAGAACTATTTTACAAATTTAAAGTGTGATCATGAGATTCCTTTAGTGAGAATCCGCACTTTGACCAGGAGCTATCTCTGGCTTTTGCGAACTCGTCATTCCACTGAACAAGGACCCAGAGAGCACCCGTGACTCTGACGCTGAGGCAGGTACAGATGGGCAGACCCAGCCCAGCTGGCAGTGTCACAGCCAGTGGGGTTCGAGGGGGCAGTAGCAAGCCATCACCTGGGCCCAGTGAGAGCGCGAGAGGGTGCCTAACCCTGGCCATGAGGGAGGCGCCCATGCGAACTGAAGGATGGGTGTAAATAGGAGCTGGCTGAGAAGAGGGGCCACAGGTATTCCCCAGGAGGGAGTGGCTGGCCCATTGAACCACCTGCTCCGGACTGTGGAGTGTGGGGTGGGAGGGGGAGAAATGAGAGCTGAAGTTAGAGGTTTGGCAGGGCCATGCCGTGGGTTGTAGATGGTGGGCCCAGTGGCGTGGCTGGATTTGCACTGTCACTGTGACATCATTGTGCCAGGTACACTGGATTCAGCCAGACAGGAGGACCCTGGTAGAAAGGGTCAGGATTCTGCTGAAATCCACGGCTTCAGTGGAGGCAGATGAGTGAAGAGGACAGGACACCAGTTCAGGGCATAGGTCCAAAGGGACACAGTCACTTTGGGAGTTTGCAAGAAGAAAAAGGAGTCCTGCATGATGCCCCTGGTCCTGGAAATCAGGGTCCTTTATTCCAGAGAGAGCACAGAGGGAGAGGGCCCATCCAACACTGGGGGCGGGGGGCTCAGTCCAGGGTAAGTCTAACTGGAGATGCCTGAAGATCTCGGTGAGTTCAGGGACAGTGGCGGATGGCAGGGTGCACCAGGCTGCAGGTCTGATGCCGATGTCCTCAGAACTGGGCATATGGAGTCCATAGGATGCAGCCAGGCCCCAGGAACTTGGCTCAGGGAGTCAGAGCTCAAGTCCCCCGCCAGGGGTGAGCAGAGGCCAAAGGGCAGCATGGGGAGCCAAAGGCAGGAGCTCCAGGAGGGGTCAGAGCTGGCTCCCCTGAAGAGGCCGAGGTCCTGGAAGCCCACTAAAGAGGATGTTTTTGGTGGAAGGCACAGGCCAAAGCCAGAGTGGCCAGGAAGCAGGAAATGCTGGCAGAGGCCCAGTGCAGGAGGAAAGCTGGTAGAACTGACCAGGTGCCAGAATGAGGTTTTGTTTGATTATAATGGGACGGAGCTTCATGTGTCTGCCTGCTTGAAGGAAACCAGAGTGTGGGAAGAGAGGCTGAGGAGAGGGAGAGCTGGAGGGTGCAGAGGACAGAAGCCCACCCCAGCCACGTGGAAAGTGCAAGGACTGGCAGGCCTGGCTTCTCCCTCAGGACAGAGGCCAGTGTGCGAAACTGCCGGCAGATGGTGTGGGTTTGGGAAGGCAGGGCCGGCGGGGGCTTAAACATCTGAGCAAAGACATGGATTTGGTGAGCAGTGCCCAGGTCCCGCTGGCCCCAAGGCAATCTGTCCACACACAGAAGAGTGATCTTCAGGGCTGGATGCTGGTGTCCACGACTTTGGCCCAGTCGCGGCTTGTGGCTTTCGCCTTCCTGCCTCGCGAGTTCAACACTGCGAAAGTAAAGCTGCTGACCCCTTGCTGCCTGCCTTGCGGCGGAATGGAGAGCCCTGGATTTCAGTCACCCTTCAGGACAACAGGTGCCCTCTCTGCTCTGCGGCCACAATGCCGAATTCGACGCCACAGTGCCTTCTGAGAAGTAGTAGAGCTGTCCCCAACTGCAGAGGAGAAACCTGGGCTGGAGGTAAAGCGAGCGAGCAGGGAGGCGGCGGCGTGGGTGAGCGGAACAGTCTAGAAACTGCAGGGAACAAAGGCGGAGTGACTGGCGCTCCGACCCTCCTCCCTGATAGAATATGCATGATCCTGAGCGAGGCCTCGCCGCCCGCCCGGAGCCGGGAGGCGTCCAAGGGAGGCGGGGAGCGCGCGCCCAGACGCACTCTCGGGCGCGGGGTGCGAGACAGCCAGGCGGCCGCGGCCGGCGGAGCGGGCTGCGGCTCGGGACCCACGCGGGCCAGTGTAAGCGTCCTGCCCTTCCTCCCGCTCCCGACCCCACCCGCGCCGCAGCCCCTCTCCTAGAGCCCTGGGGTCAGCGCCCGGCTGCCCGCCGAACCAACATCCTTTCCTTGCCCCTTCCCCTGTCCCCCACGGGGAGTGCAGACCCGGGAGGGGGCGCGTGTCCTAGGCTTTGAGCAGGTTGCACCGGAAGGTGGCCACAGTCGCCCAGCGGGGACCAGGTGACGCACTCGGTCCCTCTGCTTTGCGCTCGGCCACCACACCAGCGGGGACCCGGCACCGGCCAAGCGCGCCGCCCCTGGAGGTCCCCGCTGGGCGGTACCGGACCAGGCGCTGAGCGCGGGCGCGGAGCCTTGGGGCGAGCCGAGGGCGCAGCGCCTCCCTGGCTGTCTCGCGCAGAGCCCGCCGCCAGCGCCCTGGCTCCCTGCGTTGTGCGGTGCTTATCCGGCAGATTTTTAAGTCCCTTCAAAAAGCGTTTTCCTCCGCGCGTGTTGCTTGCGTCCTCCTGGTTGGGAGTTTGCGGTAGGCAGAGGGAGGGAGAAGAACCGCCCGTTGCGATCGGAAAACACCAGGAGACCAGACCATCTCTTTCTGCAGCGAGGAGAAAAGACGCCTTCGCAGGACCCACAACTACCTGCACCTCCCTCTTGCTCTCGGTGCGCCTTCCTACCTGTGCCTGACGTCCACCCAAGCGGGCAGGCATGGGCTGTCTGGGCAACAGCAAGACCGCAGAAGACCAGGGCGTCGATGAAAAGGAACGACGTGAGGCCAACAAAAAGATCGAGAAGCAGTTGCAGAAAGAGCGCTTGGCCTACAAAGCGACCCACCGCCTGCTGCTGCTGGGTAAGGTCGGAGGCTCGCGGCCGCTCCGCCCGGCGCACCTGGCACCCGCGGAGCGCACGGCCGAGCTCCCGTCCAGGATTGCGGCGAGCACCGGGCGGGGCGGGCAGGAGCGGGAGGGGACTGAGACCCGACGCCGCCGACCGCGGCGAGCTCCTCCGCAGCAACCTGAGTGTCCGCGAAAATCCCCACGTAGGGGCAGGAAAATAATAGGGGTTAGCGGGGAGGGGTGGCCACGCGATGAGCGTACAGTTGACAGCATTCTTTTTGTTTGTTCCTAGGGGCTGGAGAGTCTGGGAAAAGCACTATCGTCAAACAGATGAGGATCCTGCACGTGAACGGATTTAATCCCGAGTAAGAAAGCCCAATTTCAGTTTTGCTACCGAATTGCATGCAGACTTTGTGACTTCTCTCCCAGCTCTCCCAACAATTCCTTTCTCTCGGCAGCTCCTTTGATGACCCAGGAGTCCTTTTGGCGGGGCGGGGTGGGGGGAATAGAAATTTTGTTGTTGAACCTGCTTAATTTAGGCAAATCTTTCTTCTGGCAGTGCAGAGTTTAAAAAAAAATTGTTTAACAAAATATGATCTATTAGGTATTCTTGGGGTATTGATGTGCAATATTGGCACTGCTCTGAGCACTCAACCAATACACTGGTCCTTGGAGGGTGGGAGATTGCCTCCAGGACACCTGCCTATACCAGAAGTCCTGGGGTGACTGAGTTGTTACATAAAATGGCCTGGGTTTGATGTAACCCACACACATCCTTTCAAACACTTGAAATCACCTCTAGATGATTCATAATACCTGATATACATGTACATGTTATGTAAATAAATAATTGTTTAATAAATAATAACCGGGGAGTCTGTTGGGTGCAGATGTGGTTCTTTTCCCCTGTATTTTCTATATCTAGTCAGTTGACTCCACCTATGTGGAGTGCATATAAGGAGTCCAGCGGTATTTTAAGGTACACTTTTCTCTGTAGTCTCTCTTGCTCACATCTGTTTGTACACATGGGTAGATTTAAGTGTAGCCAAATCATTGCATTTACAAGCAGTGCTCATCACAATGTCGCCATGTTTTTGTGTGATCTGCATGCTTTAGTTATAAGACTGGGGCATTCAAGTTTGTTTAGAGTACAAATTAGAAAAGGGTTGTTTTCCTTTCCCTGGTAAAAACTTTACAGATGTTGTCCTGGGAGTCAATTCTGACCTCGAATTCTACCAATGCTGCATGAGGTGTAAAATCCCACTCTTTGGATACCAATCAGTGCTGAGGGAGAATTAAATTAATAACTTTCTTCCAACATAGGGAGAAGAAACAGAAAATTCTGGACATCAGGAAAAATGTCAAAGATGCTATTGTGGTAAGAAATATTCTTAATGTTTGTTTACCAGAAAGATTAAGTAGTCTGTGCTCTAAAACTACACAGGTGGAGATTACATGTGTGAGATTATCACACGTGGAGCCCACATGTCACGTTTCTTTCTGTTTCTTTCTTCATCCCATGTTAGACAATCGTCTCAGCAATGAGTACTATAATACCTCCAGTCCCACTGGCCAACCCCGAAAACCAGTTTCGATCAGATTATATCAAGAGCATAGCGCCTATCACTGACTTTGAATATTCTCAGGTAAGTAAATCCTTCCTGAAATATTTTCAATAACTATTTTTAATAGGATGGCTTGTTGAGAATCAGTGTTAATGCTCATTCATTATTAACTCTTCAAAATCTAGCTCTATAAATATTTCCTCTTTAAGAAAATATTCGTGTTTGTTAAAAGTATTAAAGACAGTAGGACCGTTACAAGTGCTTTCATGAATTTCATGGGAAGACAGCATGCCTTCAGGAAATCTTGGTTGAGCTTTTTCCTGTATTCTTTAAAATGAACAATTAAGCAACATCCCAGATCTCAACAGCAGAGATTACATTAGTAGAGAAGAATACTGATGGTACGCAATCACCTCCCTGGAGTAACAGAAAGGGCAGAGTCCTGCGGACTCTCAGAGAGCACCGTCTGACTCCCCCACACCAGGCAGAGCGCGTGCACAGGTGTGCTGCATCCAGTTAAACCCTCTGCAGGCTGCCTTCCTCATCACTACTTGGCAGTTGGTTTGTGCAGAGGGGAGTTTTCAGTATTAGTGGCCTCTTGTTTGGTGGATTAACATTTCTTAAAAATATTGCCAGTTGGAAATTCCATGAAGCAGATTTTAAAGGAAAAATCAGTTCCTCAGAAAGCCATTTTTGCTACAGTTGCACCAAAAGAGCCTGTATGTGTGTGTGTGTGTGTGTGTGTGTGTGTGTGTGAGAGAGAGAGAGAGAGAGAGAGAGAGAAAGATCAGTGAAAGTACTTTAGCATTTTTGTGGCCTGGCTTGGTGGTTTGGAGACAGCCTTCATTCTTGGAATCCTATCTTCAAGGACAGCTTGTGTAGACACCAGTTTGTGAGTGGAGGGGCTCCGTCCACCCTGGCTGCAGGGCCTCACACCCCCGCTGGCCCACGCCCTCTTAGCAAGGCTCTGTTGTCCGCACGCTCTGTATTGGTATGAGGAATAACAACTACGTTCTTATTTGCATCCTCTATTGTGATTTTTTGCTTCTGACAAGCACCCCAACTTAGCCTGTGACACCACCAGAATTTTTGAAAAGAAGTTTGGGGTGGTACCCAGGCAGAGGAAGGGACTGGGCATCTGGCACAGGGGCACACTGTTCTTCTAAAATTGTCTTTACTTGGATGGCAGAGAAGGGTTGAAGGGAAGGCGGGGCCAGAGAGGCCAGGGCCACACGTCAGCCACACCAGAAGCCCCCTTGTACCAGCCAGAGCGTGCTGGTGTCCTCCTAGGTCTCTGTGGCATTTTGCATGTAGGAGAAATCACCCAAAACGGTGGGGTCTAGTTTGGAAGCAGCAGTGGTGTCCCCTAGACATTTACAGACCACATGTGAACGTGGACATCAGTTCTGCTGTGTCTGCTCAGGAAAGAAAGTCATCTCTCCATGTGTCAATAGGTCAAGACGCATCAATCAGTTCCACACCATTTTCTCCTCATGACGCACTCACAGAGAAGGGAGCCTTTATTCAGTCTATTCAGAAACTGTCGGTATTATCCAAGGAGTCCATTTGATTCATGAACGTGGTCTCTAAGTTAAATTATATTTAGTTTAAATAAAAATATTCAAAACTTGAGGAACCATTTCCTTTGAATGCATGTACTTTCACATTTGTTTTTTAAGGTTACTTAAAATTGGTGATCAGAAACCATAATTAACTCTCAAAAAAATAAGAGAGAACTGGGCAGTAGCAGAGACAAAAGTAATGTAATCCTCTTTTAGAGATGATGCTCTTCTCCAGGGTGACTCCAGTCCCGTTGTAATGCTGACATTCTGCCGTCTGTCTACTCCCGTCAAATGAGAGTATGTTTTATTTACAACTTACACAACTTACACAAATAAGGAAGTTAATATCAAATATATAGTGTTCCTTCTGAAAATGTTATTTTTATTTTATGATGCATGCACGTGATTTCCAGGGACATGTATCCATTTTTCCCAGAGTGCCTGGAAATAGTCACACTACTTATTTTATTGGATCATAAGTTTCTAGGTTCTCACCTTTGGCTCTAGCGGTGCTGAGGACAAAACCAGGGCCTCCCATGCCTGGCAAGGGGGCTCCCTCTTGAACCACACCTCCAACCCCAGTAAAATAACTTTTAAACCAAATGTACTCTATTACCAGAAATCAATTTTGGGAACTGGGCCAGTAGCTCAGTGATAGAGCTCGTGCCTAGCATGCGTAATCCCTGGATTCCATCCCTAGGCCCCCAAACAGAACAAATCAAATTTCTGAGTTCTTCAAGTTCAGCAGGAGAAATTAGAAGAATAACTTATTTAGAAATACAGGTGGGTTCCGCTTTGTTCTACTGCCTTTTCTTTGAATTCACTTGAACTCTGAAACTTCAGGGGTGATGGAAGGAAGGGAAATGTGGCCCTGCCTAGAAGCCAGGACCACTATAGGCAGGGTAGAGCTAGAGGCCAGGTCTTGGCCTCCTGGGCCAGGTGCTGAGCACGTGCTGGGCAGTGGGCTTCAGGAGGCCACTGTGTTTGGTCCAGATCACGCTGGCCATGGGGGAGGGGTCTGGAAGGAGGCAAGCTCTGGCTGCCACTTAGAGGCTGAGGTAGCATTCCAGATGCCAGGTGATAGGGTGACTTGGTGTGAGCTGGTGACCATGGACACCCAGAGAAATGGCCCAAGTTAGGATTCACCGTGGAAATGGAGCCACTCAGACTGGCTGATGTTTGGACGTGGTTTGGGAGGGAGATGGAGAAATCAACAAGGCCAGGGGTTTGGCCTGAATTTCCCGTAGATGGTAGAAAGAGGGTGGGCGGAGGCGGGTGTGAGGAGGTGCCGCGAATTCTCCTGGTGGGTTGGAGATGCTGTTCATACTTGTCCTGCGGATGGGGTGGAAAGCCTGGTTTGTGGGTTTGGAGCCCAGGGTGGAAGAGGCTGAGGACCTTCAGACCAGGGATGTTCTGGTGAGGTGGTCGTTGAGGAAGATTCAGGAGCTGACGGGGAGAGAGCCAAAGGTCGAGGGACAGCAGCTGGGCCAGTGCAGGGCTGAGGGCTCAACTGGGCCTTGGGGTAACATGGCTTTGGCAGCTTGAGGTCCCCAGTGCCCTTGCCCTGGGCTGGCAAGTGTTAAGGAGAGGGTGCCGCCTGGGACCCTGGAGCCGCAGGGCAGACAGGCTTTCCAAAGGTCCTCCTGTGACGGGAAGCTGAGAAGCAGGGCAGCAAGTCCAAGGGCAGCAGAGGCCAGGGAGGGCTTCTCTTGAGATGAAAGATCTAGAAGCAGCTGAATGGACACGGCCTGAATTGTCTGGTGAAGCAGGAGAAAGTGGCAGTACAGGCGGAGAATGGCTGTTGACAGGGCAGAAAGACAGACTACCTGCCACTGGACAGGAGGGAGCACAGAGCAGCAGGCGCAGGCCAGGTGAGGCTTCGGATTTGGTGGCACAGAGTTTGCTAAAGCAAACTGGCGACTTAGGTGAAGATGACTGTCTCGTGTGGGAATCATCCAGAGCCAACCCACCTGCCATTTGTGGTTTTGTTTGAGCTCAGTGGACGATGACAGTTGAGCCCTTTTGACCTCAAGGCCCAGGACACAGTTATTCCCTTCACCAGCCAACAGTGTAAACAGGGAGTTCTTGCAGACATGAGAAGCAAATGATCCAGCTGTCCTCGAAGCCAGCAAGAGGCTCACTGCTGGATACTGTGGAATTCTGGGGACAAGCCCAGCACAATGTGTTGGATTTGAATTTCAAATAAAATAAATGAAAAAGCGCTTTGCAGCATGTAAATCAAAAGGGAAAGGGAAGGTGCTGGTCCAAGGCGACTCATCCAGCCCCCGTTGCCTGGGATAGTGTTTTCCCCATCAGTGTATCCAGACTTGAGATCACCCTGGCTGGGCACTGACTCTCCCCAAGACCCCTTCCCTGGCTGGCCCCAGGTCTTTGCAACCCAGTTTTGGATCCCACCTGTTGCATATCCACAGGGAGGGAGGGGAGATGAATAGGCTGTAGTAACTATCACAAGAGATCGGAGATCAATGGGTCGATTATTAATAGGAAAATGTCATAGTTGCTCCAAGTCCCCAAAAAGCCTTTGGTGCGGAACTAAGCAAAATCACTGCTGAGAAAAACTGAAGTGCTTATTTGTTAATTTTTTCTTCTTCAAATGTGATATTGTATTGGCTCTTTTAAAATTGTGTTTCATTAAATTTTTAAGGGGAAGAGAATAAATGAGTCTTAATAAGAAATGCAAAAGCAGTCTCACCTTGTGGCGCACGCCTGTCATCCCAGTGGCTGGGGAGGCTGAGGCAGGAGAATCACAAGTTTAAGGCCAGCCTCAGCAACTTTACAAAGTCCTAAGCAACTTAGTGAAACCCTGTCTCAAAATAAAAAAATAAAAGGGAAGTGGAGCTAGGGACATGGCTCATTGGTGAAGTGACTCTGGGTTCAGTTCTAGTATTGCCCCCCACAAAATGTAGTTCTATCTGGCAGTCGATGACCCATCGTTACCACCGGATGGCTTCTAAGTTAAAAATCCAGAGAGCTAGCTCGTCAGTGGTGCTCAACTGGGCTAATGTGTGAGTGCTCAGTTAAAGTAGAGGCAGAGGACCCCCCAGGGACTGGGGCAAGGTCTGGGGAACCAGGCTGGCCAGTATGGGTCTCAGCTCTACCGTCTCTGGGGGCATGACCTCTTAGCTACACTCGCCCATGTGCTCTGCCTTGTGGCGAGTGAGTGCAGAATTTCTAGAACACACGGCAGTCATCCAGCTTAGGGGCTTTCCTTGCTGTTTCTGTTTGTCTGTGTCAATCAGCCAATTTGAAGCCACTGTGTAAATCGGGTAAGAGTGCGTGCCTCCGAGGGAGCCCAGGTCCCCAGCACCGTCCTCCAGTGGTGCTCCCCTGGACCTTCCTCCCAGGCCCCCCCACTCAGCCAGGCACTGCTGGGAGATGCAGGCTTTCTGTGTCAGCTCCCCGAAGAACAGCTGGGGACCAGGTCCCCACCCCCCACCCTCAGCTGGCACTGGAATTTGCATCTCATGTCTAGGTACACTGAAAATGTCACCAAAGGCC